AGGATATAAATAAGATATATGTAATATAGTACGTAATAGGTACTTTGTGGATTGCGGTCCCTATCTTTGTTATATAATACTAACGCTACTCGAGCGTAGAAGATTTCTTGCAGAACCCACACTCTCGTGAACCAGGGTAGCTGTAGAATATACTGCAACGCTCTTTAGTAGGGCTCACTTCGAGGGGTTTTATACCTTTGCTGAAGGCACTTGTACCAATTTCTTGCCCACTTAATGTTATGACGATGATCCTGGTGTGCTGATTCCTGATGGAGTGCTTGTAAATCTTCTATCAAAAGTCTCGTTTCGTACGTTGCAGGCCCCAGCCAGACAAGGACTCGCTCTGCTTGTTTGTATATGCCAGTCATCTGCCCGACCTGATGACCTCGCTCAGCAAGGTTCTTCTGGTCTATGCATATTGCATCAACCCAAAGGATTCTATTCCGGCGGGTACGAAGATGAAGCAGTGCTGAGAAAAGTCTCTCGGTGATACGCAGGCTCTTGCCATTGACAGAAATCGACTCAGTCTGATCAACACCACCCCATGCGTAAGATAGAGCTTCATAGGGGACCAAATCGTCAGGCTCGAGGGTTGCTTGGAAGATGTCGCATCGTATGTTCAAACCCGGGATGAAGGATCAGAAGTCGAAATGACCTTGCCCCAAGATCTAGGGGTTCATACTGGAAAGACCCCATAGAGTGGCCAACGAGCTATTCTGTCGGATTCGGATGCCAAAAATTGGTTTGTAACATCGAGCCGAGTGACCAGAGCAGCTTGGAGGGTGTTGAGGTGGGCCGTTCTTTGAGATTTCCCGTCCCAACACGAGCAAGATCCGGAGAGGGGCTTCGCGGCTCGCCTGACAGGTGTTACATTATCACATACTACCTTACGTGTTGTCTTGGTAGTTTTTCGAAGTGGTTCGCCAGCAAAGTCGCTCTTTGGGATCGCGCGCAATGTGACTATGCTTCATGCAGGTATAGCTCACCAATTCCACCATCGGTTTTGTACAGTGGAACCTGCTTTCAGTCGTGATTCGCGAACAGCCGATGCAATAAGATGGGAATCGGGCAAGTGTATAAACATCATATCATGGAACGTTGCCACGGAAGATCAGCGGCAGTCGAGGCTTGTTCGCAGAACTTGTCACGTTCAGCACCCATTCTAGATGATAATTTCCAGCGCTTTCTTGGCATTTGATCTCCCTTGTATGACTTTCAGTTGGAGAAATGCTAAACCTGAAATTCAACTCAAGAACAGCGTCACAGCCGGCAAAGTTGGTTGTTATGAGTAATGTCAAGAAGGGCAATAGTTTTGGATCAGGTGGTCCTCATTTCGGTTACCGGCGCGACATGCGCCGTGGCCCGAGAATATCCTTCCATTATAGATCTCAATTTTCGGATCAACTGCCGGTGGTTTTGAAACGAGTTTCTAGATCATTTGCTTTTCGACGATGACTTATATTTAGATATTTCACTTGAATTTGGTGACATTTGTACTTTCCTTTCTTGATAACAGTCGTCATTTGATGGTTTATCGAGCTCTTAAACGTTTCGGCTTATCTGGGTGCAAACTGTTCCAGATAAGGGTTGCACTTACATCCAACCCGCTGTTGAGTGTCGCCTCCACCTCGATCGCCGCAGTATTCAAGCGCAGACCATCAGCTGTGATTCTTCTTATGCGTTCGATCTCTTTATAGATGTCGCGTGGGCTCCAGTGGCATAAAAAGACCGCGGACCAGCGGACATGCGCATCAGGGGGGGGCCCCAAAGCAACAACGCTGACTCTTTGGAATCCTGACTTGAGCAGCGGCAGTAATTCATTTATGTCCAAGAATCGCAGCAACCATAGCAACCCACTCATTTCAAATTCCATGCGATCGCCGACCAAATTAAGGAGTATCGGGATGATCGTACCCCTTTTCCGATTGCGGGCAGCTGATCTCAGAAGTTCGTGAGTTAGTTGATATACTTGGGGCTGGTAAGTATGGAGAAGCTGTTCCAACAAGGGCGGATCAAGCGCCGCTACCAACATGGATAACCCTTCTTGAGTTAATGGAATAGGAGGATTGTCCCATTTCATCAGCATCATGAGGATTTGATTCCTGCCGTCTCTTCGGTGTACCAAGGCTTCGGCAAGATGATGATTGATCTGTACGCCTATTCCAAATTGGTGCAAAAGACCTTGCGCTGTTGCAATGTCGCAAAACCGAAACGCCGACTCTACGCCTTCTAAGACGAATTGAAGGTTTTGGTGCTCAAGTTGAGCTAGATCGCAGAGGAACTTTGTAGTTCCCGATTTTTCTTGAGTCCGTATTTCACTAACCACGGCCTTATTGACAGTGAACCTTTGGCCCCTCTCAAGAAGCGTGCGAATGTGGCTTGTGACCCCTGCCACCACAACGTTCTGGAGGATCGCCTCTGTTCGTTGAGGCAGCACTTCGAGAAACAATACCATGGTTCGCTCGGGAATATCTCTGCAATATCGCAAATCGAGAAACAGGTATGTCTTGAGGTCCTGCACCAGCTGCTCTTCAGTTTTGAAGTAGTCCGGCGATAGCAGTGATCCCAAGTCGCTTTGCGATACGTCGGAGGCTATTGCGAGTAGGGCGTATACCATATCCCGAGGGTCGCTCGCCTTGCTGTTTTGAAACTTTTGTAATAAGGCCAGTAGAACATTCTTCCTTGGGGACCTCTGAGTGAATGAATCCGGAAGCAAGTCCAGAACAGCTTGGCAGCCGACATCCGGGACGACGCCGACGAGCTTGGCGGCGATGTTGAGCATGTAGGCCTGAACGGACCGTCTTCCACACAATATCGAAGCTGCCCGTGCGTGTGATACTTCCTGCAGAACCCATATCCTCGTGAACCAGGCCTCCCCGAGGAGGGAAACAAGTCCCTTCCGTTGCAGATCCAAGAGAACAGCCTGGTCAAGTTCCGAGTTCTGTCGCATCTTCGACCATTGCTCTTGTGCCTGGACAAGGTCGTCTCGGCTTTTCTGACGGGTCCAGCCTTTCTGTAGTTCTTTGAGGCATCCGAGCAAGAGGTTCGTCTCATGTGTGGGGGGGCCAAGCCAAATGATGACCTGTTCAGCGCCTCGGTAGATGCCTGCCATCTGTTCGACTTGGTGACCTCGCTCAGCGACGTTGCTTTGATCGATGCAGACAGCGTCGATCCACATGACTTTGCTTACATGTTCGTCTCGGAGATAAGTCAAAGCAGTAAATAAGTTATACGTGATACAGAGGGTCTTGCCGTTGGTGATGATGGAGGCCGAGAGATCAATGCTGCCCCAGGCATATGATAAGGCCTCGTAGGGGACAATGCTGTCAGAGTCCAGGCTTGCTTCAAAGATATCGCAGGATACCTCGCTGGTGGATCCAGGATGAAGCATGAGTAGCCGGAAGGATTTCCCCGTAAGGTCTAGGGGTTCGTACTGGAAGGGTTCGTACTGGAACAGGTCCATGATGTATCGAGATATTGATGTTTGCGTATTTTTATCGATCTCTGATGGCGGAGCTAGAAAGCTCAACTAAGTCGTAAGCCGTCTGTTTGACTAGAAATGACGCCTCTTCACGCAGCGTGAAAGCATCGAGGCGACATCTTGACGAAGGTGCTACCGCACATTCGTAGGTAGGATATTGGACTGAACGCCTCGGGTCATTGCCATAATCCTGCAAGAAGCAAATGCTAGTCGTCCTCTCGGGTCGCAGTGTTGTCTTAGTACGAAGAATCCGAAAATCGAAGTTCCATTGATGTTGACATGTCGGGTGCCGGCGTTATCCATAATGCCGGATTGCGTCGGGATTCCGGGTGCTCGTGACTCGTCATGTGGACGTCGAATGCGTTCCTGAAGAAACTCTCCCGAATCCGGAGATAGGCGGGTCAGGCGAGTTGGTGCTTAGGTAACCCTCTGGTTTACTGAACACCACGGCCTGGTTGAGGGCCCTGCAGGCCAGCAATCTTCAGTGGAGTTGGACAGCGGTTCAGCATCTGCCAGCAGTGAAACTAGCAAGGGAACAGCGCTAGAAGAGCCAACCGGCGTTGCGTGATTGGACATCCTCGGTGTCGGATCCGGGGTGGATCTCGAAGGGGACTAGCGGCGGACGCCGCAGTTGCCCGCGTGCCCTCCCAGGTTCTCCGTACTTGCTGCGTACAGGCTACAGCTCTGGGTATCCTTACCCCGTGCGGGTTGACTCGAGCACCCACGCCAAACCCACACTGCAGGTGGGTTTGGGCCTCTTCACATGTCAGCTGCCCTTCCCCCCCAAACCCAAACAAACGTCACCATCTCACCTCAGAAGCCAGCAATTGAACCGAGCCCACGCGGAGAGACACACACAGAGTACTGCGTACACTCACTCGACCGCTTTCACATTGAAACATGTGCCGCCGGTACCCTGGTCAAGGACCCTCTTTCACGAGCAACGTCGGCCGTTGTTGTCGCTGCTGCTGCTGCTGCTGCCGCTACCGCTCCTCTTCCCATCGTAGGTAGTCTTCTTTGACAGCTCTCGCTCGACTCTCAACTACTCCTCTCCGCCATATCCGTCGCGAAACATATCGTCATTCATTCCAAGCACTCGGCTGCCACCACGTACAACTATTCCCCCAACGTGTACGATCCAAAACAACCGGAACCTCTCCGGCCTTCTATTTCGAACCAAGTCCAGCTTCGGGTGGCGGTCCGTGGTGTCGAGCCGTCCGTCGCTGCACCTTTTCGTCCGCCGTGCTCGCCAAGCGCTTCTCCGAGCTTGCCTGGGACGCATTGCCATGGCCTTTTAGCCCTGGAGCCATCGCATTACTCGCGCTGCGCCGTCCCGTCGACGACTTCAACGCCATCCATTGTACACCCGAGCCACAACCTCGTGGTCTTGCACTGCTCGCTTGGTCAGCCGCGCCTCCGGCTGTCCTCGGTGCTTAGATTTTCATGACTTTGAGACGGCATCTGCAAACACCTACTGCTTCTTCCTTTACACCTTGTCCATTGCTCTGGTGTTCATCGTAGCATACACCAGTCGCCATGATAGACCACGTCCTGGGACGGCCGTCGGTCAAGTCGCGCCGCCTTCAGGTCCTGGCGGTGCTGGCTTTCTGGTCGGCATACATCTTTAGGTAACACACTACGTCTTGAATCTCGTGCAACGCTGTCGTGATAGGAGCTGATGAGATCTCTTGCAGAGGACACCCCCACGGCCCCCCCGTCATCCGCTTCTTCTCCAAGCTCACGACGAAGCGCCTCACGACATGGCAGACCGTCGTGGTCACCATGATCTACCTCTACGCTGCCCGACACTTTAGCACTTTGGTCGGCCTCGCGAGCCCCGAACCCATGTCCAACATGTACGACGCCACCTACTTCCGCGCAACATGGATCTTGACTGCTCTGGATGCCGGCTTTTGGACCGCCATGAAGATCCGCGCAAAGTGGCTTCGCGACCTGGCCAGCATCGTCTTCTCCGTATTCTACATGTTTGCCGCCGAGAAGGCCGATGAAAAGGTCCGCAAGGTGCGCGGCATGTTGACTGTCGAGCATCTACGCGTGTCTTGGGACAAAGGCACGACGCCGTACCTGAAATTCTTCCAGGGCCTCATGCGGCCTCGCTTCTCCCGCTGGCCGCCGCGCGCAATCCGCATTCCGCGACCTAGTGGCAGCGATTATAAAGAGCCGGTGTCGGCTTGGCTCTACTTCGATGGCCCATTGACGGATCTCGTGCGACACAGCAGAATCATTCTGGATATCCCTGGTGGTGGATTCGTCGCTATGGACCCTCGGTGCAACGATGATAAGCTGTTCGCATGGGCGTCCAAGACTGGTATGCCAGTTCTTAGCCTGGATTACAAGAAGGCCCCCGAGTTCCCGTACCCGTTCGCCCTGAACGAGTGCTTCGACGTCTACACGACACTCATTCGAAGCAAGGGAAGATGCATCGGCATGTCTGGAAGAGAGACACCCCGAATCGTGCTCACAGGTGACAGCGCCGGTGGTAACTTGGCTACGGCAACAACTCTAATGATTGTGGAGAGAACATCGGTGCCGATGCGTCGCTACTCGAGTACCGGAGATCTGCCATTGCCTGACGGATTAGTCTTGTTCTACCCAGCACTCGATATGAACATTGGCAACTGGATGTCAGACGAGCAGATGTCGCTGATGAAGGATAGGAGGCTGAGAAGCACGAATCAATCGATCATCAGGCGGAAGAGCATGCAGTACAACGACCTCGTCGGCACACCTCATCACAGCGATGACGAGGAGGACTCCAACAAGCAGTCGACCGAGCTGACGGCCAAGGAAGCCCAGATCGCCTCGCAACAGGCGCTCGCTAGCCCTCATCCCGAGTTTTCGCATGGCGGTCCACAGAGTATGTCCAACGCAGAATCTTCGGCTCCGGATATCAAGCGCCAGCAGAGCGCATCCCATCACTCCGAGCCTCTTCGAACCCGCCTCGCCATGTCGTCTATGATTTCCTACTTCAACGATCGCGTGCTCACCCCTGAGATGATGCGCGCCATGATCATTCTCTACATCGGCCCTCACAACCGACCCGACTTCAGCAAGGACTACCTCCTTTCTCCCGTCCTCACCCCCGACTCCCTCCTCGCACGCTTCCCGAAGGTCTACTTCTTGACCGGCGAGCGAGATCCTCTGGTCGACGACACCGTCATCTTCTCAGCGCGCCTGCGCAAGGTGAAGGAATCCATGTTCGACCAAGCCCAATCCGAGCGCTCCGATCTTGGCGATGGACTCGAGCCCATCTTCAACCCCAAGGACGTTGCCGAGGTGATGCTGATCCCCGGCATCTCCCATGGTTTCCTGCAGTTCCCCACTGTGTATCCACCAGCATGGAAGCACTTTGAGAGGTCAGCAGAATGGATCACAGAGATCTTTGCCTCAGCCGATGCCGTACGCGAGCGAGAGAGCCGTGGTCGCAGACGCGTCGGCGGCGGACCCATCACAAACGGCAACAGCGAAGGCCGGCACCACAACCGCGTCGAGTCGAGCGGAGACGAGGACAGACCGCTGGAGATTAGCATGACGAGGGCGAACCGCAAGAATACCCTGACCAAGGAGCCGCAGGCCATGGACGAAAGCGAGTCCATTGTACCCGACGCGAGCGGCAAGAAGAAGAATGGCCGCGCGAGGGGCGCGAGTAAGAGTGCGGGCGCGAGCCTTGTGAAGCTGAAGAGTACGGATGACTTGTTGGGAAGGAGAATGCAGGGTCTTGCTGGGGGATTGACTGGCGTTGGGAGGGGACAGGAATGATAGCGGGTCATTTGCCCTGGAAGTACTCTTGTACGATGGAGGCGCACAGTATCTATCACGATTTCGAGTCACGAAAGTAGCCTATTTGGGAATGTGTTCTTTCGCTGGGTGGCTCTAGATGTTTTGTAGATTGGATTGCCAACGAAACTGTATACATATGTCGGGTAGCGCCAAGTTTTATAGACACCAGTTTGATCATGGCCGTGCTTTATCCGGGTCGGTATGTAGTCCCGCCTCCAATAAGGGGTCGATGGTCGTTGGCCTGGGTTGACAGATCTTCTCCTGACAACGATCATGGCAGAGTCTGCGGCTGAAAGAATGATGTAGCCCATGAAAGATCAGGCAGGGCATGACGAGGCAGCCGCCTGTCTCCTCGAGGAAAGCCTGTGATTCATGCTCAGCCTCAGTTCTATGCTCACAACCAACCACGTACCCGGACGGCAGGCAGGCGCCCTAGCTATACCTTTCCGCAGTTCACGGGATACCCCTTTCCGACCACCTGAATAGGTATCTTGGACATCAATACACACGGCAAGAAGCCTATATACCCTCCCCCATCAACCTCAATCCCATTCCCGTCACCGGCACAGCAGGCGCCCTCTAGGTCGGGGGTCAGGTCAAACCTGTGGCGTGGGTGGTGGAGTGGTTAATGGTCGATGATCATTTACGCCAACTAGCCTACTCGACGATAGGCTTAGCTTGTACCCGAGTTTGAATTCCAGCTTGTGCGCCAGAGATGTTGCCCCCTTTCGACACCGGGGAGGGGGGGCTCTTTTGATGTTTTGTTTAATGTTGGTGGTGTCCTTTTTTTATTTTGTGTTTATGCTTCGAGTTGTATTCGTTGCGGCTGCTTCTTCTCCCAGTTCGAAATGGATAAGTCGAGTGAACTACTATCCTACATTTGCACTACAATGTTCATGAAACACTGAGACGGTGCTTTGAGAGGCTTCGGACAACTTACTTAAGACAGATTGGGAAGTCGTGGCGTTGGCTATGTTACTCTGGTTCTCTACGATGTGAAGTTTGGAAATTGGATCTTACTGGCCTATACTGAACCTGAGGATGTCTTTGTTCTGTCAATTCATAGCCGCATCTTCGTCTTGAGATATAAATGAAGGTAACCGACGGTTCCTGGGGTTGTCTGGTATTGTGAGCACTTCAGCTCTCAATCAATAATCATTCCCGTGGGATCTAAGGGGAAGGAAGCAGTTCAAGTCAAATCGTCGAAAGGGCATCTTCCGTGAGATCTGTATTACTCCATGGTTGACAGGTATCTACCTACTGCAGGCTGCAAAGATTACCTGAAGGGGCAAGTCAGGGTAGGGCTGCTGTTGACAATGGGACGCTGTCGACAGTGGGACGCTGAGCCTGCTCCAGGTGAATCACTCACCGGCCTCTTTGCTTGAGAATGATTCATCACCTTTGGATACGTACTCCCATCACCAGACGCACGTGTTGCTGTAACCCATGTAGGCAGGTACGACCGGACCCCTATGATTCATACCTTCCACCTTCCGCCTTCTACCCGAATACACACAGGAAAACCTTTATAGGCCTCGTCAAATCCATTCCCGTCACCAGCCAGCAGGCGCCCCCTTTGAGGGGTCAGGTCAAAACTGGCTGGGTGGTGGAGTGGTTCGAGTCCACAAGCCTACTCGGTGAAGGCTTTGAGAGGTCCCGTGTTCGAGTCCCAGCATGTGCACCCAGAGATGTAGTCCCCATTCGCCACCGGGGGGGTGAACTCTTTTGTCGATTCGGTCTATTTCTGAAGGGGCCTTTTGTATGCTTACCTTGCATGTCTTGTCTGGCTTTTGCGCTGTCCTTGAGGGAGAGTTCATTGTGATTACCTTCTGCAACTACATTACGGACCCAAGAAACTTCAACATAATCACCGAGCGCCTCTGGAAAAAGGCAGGCAGATTGAGGGGTTCCAAGGCCACTTCTTCCGGTCGTTGCTGACGTAGAGTGGGAGTGGGAATTTCCTAGTGTGTACCCAATCAGGAGATGGATGTGTGCTTGGTATGCGTCTCGCGTCTCGAGATTAGATTCATCTGGGCCGGATATGTCGAGGAAGCTAGGTATCTTGAGGCGACTGCCAGAAGATGCTAGAGGAGGACCCAGGCGAGGAGAGATGATTCCGTTGTTCCCCGAGTTCATGGGTACCGCCATGCCAACAAGGAAAGGGGGTTTGTCTATCTTAAAACTTGAGTCGAATACAGCCAACAGTTGTGTCATCTGGTCCACAGATGTAGAGGTCAGCCCTCTCAGTGAGATCGCGGGGACTTATACATGTTCCGTTCCTGTCATGCCAAGATCTGGCCAACTGGATCTCCACCATGCTCAGAGTTGGATGGGATCGTGTCGTCATGAACGACTTGTCCAGTGACAAAGAAGAACTATCTAGAGTGGTAGATGATCACTTTGAATGGATATGCCTCTACGGTCTGATCAAACTCGGATAGAGGCTCGGTGGAGAGGTTTGCATGCACCCCGATCTGATCACCCATTTTGGTCAACCGAAGAATGGAGATAAAGGGACCTACGGCAATCTGAACAGCATTCGCGTCGGGTAGTCTCAGGACTTGTCTTGGTTTACTGATTGTACAGCCCACGAAACTGAAACTATCTCAAATGTTACGCAGACGATTCGCGACTAGCTTTACCTCCATCAAGCCCGGCCGGCTAACCACGGCGAAGACCGCCCCCATGCGTAGCACGACTAGAACCATGTTTGTATTCTAGAGATATCCTACAATTATGAAGCGTCTCAAATCAAACTGTCAAGGCCGTAAGATTATCTCAAGGCCAAGGGGTCTCAGAGGAGCAGGTAGCTCAGATACTGTCGTCAGCGACAGCGGCTTCAACGAGAGAAACCCGGACAGGTTACGAGGAAATATAGAAGAGCGTGCAACTTTTGATAACGTTCATAGATCAATATGAAACAAATGTCAATAATACCGCGACGAGGTATTTCTTGAGGGGTCGTTTGTTGCATCGCCGGCAACGCGCCGCCTTCTCCCCTCGACCGACTCGGGACCACATGACGAGGCCCATGGCACGAGATCAACCAAAAAACGCTCCAAGCTAACTCACAGTATTTCAAGATTTACACACACTCACAGTTCTTGAAGGTGTCAAAGCAAGTACGGCGAGGGTTCTCTGATCGGAATGTCATCGTCACTCGAAGTGGAAAAGGAGGGGATGAGCATCGAATGAAGTAACTCGAAAAATACTTTGCAACATCGTCGAGAACCATCAATCATTCAACCGCTGGGAATGTATAGAGCCGGGTATCCGTAGACGAGCAAAATAGGGTGATGTGCTTACATCGTCGGTGATGGCCGCCCAACATCCCAGCATACCAGCTCGCCTGGATACGTCGCGGGCGTCTGGGCTATGAGGGGTGATTTACCCCCTTTCCGGCACTTCGCGACGTGCAACACCAACGCCAATATCGTCCACGGAATCTCAATGGAATTCACAACGGGCAATATCGAATCTTGAAAGGTGGGTTCTTGTTCCCATTATTCTACTACGTGCACCTCATCGCGAATTACTCTTCAGCGTCATGACATTCTAGTATCTCCTTCTCAAACCCCCTCTTCAAAACCCGATAGTCCCAAGTTGAGAGGGGACCAATGCAACCTCCCTTCGTTGAAATCCTTCCAAGGTAGACAACGACATCACGTCGTGCCTCAAACCCTCATTCAGCCGAAAATCAGACATCCGCCCAAACGCCAATCTCCCAATCTCCCAATCTCCCAATCTCCCAAACACAGAGGACCCTGAGCCCTTTCCTTATGCTTGCGAGCACGCCAACACCTAAGCCTTGCCAGCATACTTGCTCACGACAACCTCAATCTCTCCCTTCAAAACATCCTTCCTCTCCTCAGTGCACCAGCTCCCCTCGACACTGCCCACCGCAATCCCCTTCCACTCCTCGATACTCAATCCAAACGCCTCCTGCACAGCGCAGTAATTCTCCAGAATATACCCCCCAAAGTACGCCGGGTCGTCGCTGTTGATGCTAAACCGCACCCCCTTGTCCAAAAACTCCCGAATCGGCATCTCCTTCATCTCCTTGACACCCCTCAGTACCACATTCGAAATCGGACACAGACTCAACAGCGTCTTATCCCGCGCCAACCGTGCCAACAACTCGGGACTCTCCGCCGACCGCCGCCCGTGATCGATGCGCGTCACGCCGCAGTCGTCCAGCGCCTGCACGACGCACTCGGCAGGCGCCTCTTCGCCCGCGTGCGCCGTAGCCCGTACGCCCGCCGCCCGCACCGCATCATAAATAGACGTCCACATCTTGGGCGGGTACGGCGCCTCGCTGCTTGACATGCCCACGCCCGCAATCGTGCCGTCGGCAAAGTGGCCCGCGTCCCGGGCCTCGACAAACATGCGCAGCCCGTCCTCGACGGTGCAGTGCCGCAGAAAGCAGACGATATATTCAACCGTCAACCCCTCAAAGTCCCGCTGCGCACGCTCCTTGGCACGGCGGAGGCCCTCGATGACGGTCTCGTACGCGACGCCGCGGCACGTGTGCGCCTGCGGGTCGAAAAACACCTCTGCGTGACGCACGTTTTGCGAGTGCGCCTTTTTGAGATAGGCATAGCCCAGTTCCTCGAAATCGGTGACGGTAAGGAGCACGGAGAATCCGATAAAGTAGTAGTGCAAGAAGTCGTCGAGCGAGGAAAAGTTGCGGTACCGCTCGTACAGGGCCTCGACGCTGGCGAAGGCGGGATCCTTGTCGACGGGCAGGGTGATGTTGTTCTGTGCGGCCAGGTGGAACAGCAGCTCGGGCCCCAGGGAGCCCTCGATGTGAATGTGGTGCTCGCACTTTGGGAGATCGACCAGGAAGTCGTGGAGGCCGTCCTTGCACATCGTGGGCGAGATATGTGTGTCGTGAATGTGTGTGTGTGGGGTGTGTTAGTGTGTTGAGTATGATGATGAGGGGTGTCCAGATGTCTGAAGTTGCAGAGCCTGTGTGTCGTTTGGCTGGAGATGCTTGAGATGGAGATAGAGAGAGGTCGTTGTCGGCTCTGGAGATGAAGACGACGAATGATGGGATGAAGTTTGGAGGCGATGCGATGCGCCAGACAGAAGTCGCAAAAAGATGGGAGGTGTATTTTGGTAGAAAGATGTTTCACTTGAAAAAGTTTGCTCAAGAACTCTTCTCGACGGTTTCCGCGTTGCCTTTTGTGTCGTTCACGAACAAAAATAGATTTGTTGGAGAACTTCTAGAAGTCTTGTAGACGAACGCACGGCTTGGTATCTGCCACCAAAAGTTTCTTCTTATCCGTGTTGTGTCATATCATTGGATTTTTTCACCTCCAATTTTTACGTTTTGCCTCTCGTTTTGGTGACAATGACCCGAATTTGTCTCCATATTCGCAGGTTTACGTTATCAGGTTCCCCTCGTTGTCGGCGAGCGCCGTATTTCTTTCTGCAGCGGAAGACGGCGAAGGTTCGGCCCAGTCTTCGTTCGCCGCTTGACTGTGTCCGGCTTCCGACCGAGTATAAGTGGTTCTGGCTAACGCTGTTAGCTTCGGGATATCCATACAAGATGACAAAGGGATTTTAGACACAATGGAGTGATGGCTGATAATGTCCAAGAAACTGAAAGAGAGCAGCAATGAGCCTCCACGGCTCTCGGAGAAACAAAGACTCCAAAACGGCCAGCATTGACCACGAGGCAAGAGATCGCGAGAACGAAGGCCTGTGAAAAGGGTTTCCCCTGATCAAGAAACTTCCCGTGCTACGGATTCGGAGGCGAGTCTTCGCCAGGATCCTCTCCTCCCACTCCCACTCCCACTCCCACCCTCTCTCCAACCTGGTGGTCAAAAAAAAGTCTCCAGCAGCTTAACCGCTTCTCCCTCTCAAGGCTCTCTGTCGTCAGTGAGTGGCCCAACTTTCCGGGCCCGCGACGCACCCTGCGGCATTAAACGCACGACCAGCGAAGCCGTCGAACGACAAGATGGTTTGAAATATCCATGTTTGAAGCGGGCTAAGAGTAGGAGCATCGGGGACATGGGGAGGAAGACATTGGACGAAATATGACCATCGACGAAACAAGCTCCCTCCCGTTCAGCCTGTCACGACGATGATGTCGCAGTGAATCGGGAATTGGGCTAGCAGCACTTTTGTTGGTGACAAGCGCAATCACAGATCATACCCTTCCTTTTCCCAGCTTTGACGTCGGAAAGAGGCGACCCGGCGCACCTCACTGTTGCAAGAAAGCAGGATTGAAGTCGGAGGGTGCGGTCGCAGTCGCAGTCGCAGTCGCAGTGGCAATGAGACGTGCAGCCTCAACTGACTGACATGAGCAAGTTGCTCGCGAATGGAATGCTTTCCATTTGAACAGTCTGGGAGGACGGCCTTCGCGAGGGGACAGCCAGCTTCCCCATCACCCAGTGTCATGTCACCATGGCCATATGTACGTTCAGACCTCATCAACGGCAGCCTCACAGACTCTTAGAGATTGACAGGTCCAGGCGGCCGCCACATACGACATTGGCAGACTGCATTCCGTACCATCCTTTGGTTTGGCTGTTTCTTCTTCAGCGGTCCGCCAACGGCCAGCAGTGTGCGGGCTGACGCGCTCCTCGAACTCGTCTAGATGGTCTCGAAACCCAATCTGGGTTGCACTCGCCTACCTTCATTGGCTCCAGCGAGACCCCTCTCTGTCTGTCTGGTCTTTGAGCTTTGAGGGATGCTCTCCCCCGTTGCGGCGGAAAGGGCCTGCCGCCTGCCGCTGAACCGCTTCCAAAGTCTAGACCTCTGGCATTGCTTTTTCTTGTCGCAGAGCGCAGAGACATCCAGAAACCTGCCGATTCCCCGGTTATTCTCACATTGGGGGGCTGAAAGGCTGGCAAGTGGTGGCGCCGCACGCCGCTCCCAGGATTTCTTGGTAGGGATCATCCCGGAGCTGAAAGTTCAACGTCAACTGGACATTTTTCGACGGCCGATCAGAGGAGAGATCCATCCCAGTGTTTGACGGCCGGGGGGGGGGGGGGCGACAGGCGGTGCGGTGCGCCCATGGAAGGAAGAACAAGAAAAAAAACCGCAGAAAACGACCGGGATTCGGAGGTCAGATCCGTCTTGTGGCCACCGATGAACCGGGCGAGGCAGCAGCCGACGGGATGGCTGACTACGAAGGGATATCCATACCAGGTGAACATTAGTGTTACTTCGCATCACTGGTACCTGAGAGAGTTGAATGATACCACTCCCAGACTTTCCCAGGGCTATACGTACGCCGCCACAGTGTATGTACGTACGGATATCCATCAAGGAGCTGAGATGTTGGACGACGGCCGAACACGCCCCCGCAGGCTGTTGCTCCGAACTGTCAAGCCAAGGAATGTTCCTGGTCTCAGCCCGTGAGGCCCCTCCCTCCAGAAAAGGTCTTTTGGCCCTTGATATGCTTGATCATCAGCCCCAGTTATGCTGGCACGGGCTGTCCCATGGCATCTGTGACGTGAGTCGTCGCAACCACCGATCTCCCAAGCGAGAAGCAAAGCCTCCGCCCGTCGTGCGCAAAAGCTTATCGACAGGAATAGCTCCAACGTCTAGGTGAGATGATGGAATGGCGGTTGGAATGGCGTCCCGTTGACCTCCGTCCCTTCATCTGTTGTGTCTTTTTAAGCTTGTCATGGCCGTTTCCGCGCGCCCGCGCCCGATGCGTGTGCGCGCGACCAGTCACCACTCGTCCCGTTGCATCTTTATGCCCGCTGCCCGCTCTCTCTGTTCTAATTCTGTCCGTTTGAAGAACGCAACCACCTTTTAAGTCAGAGTTTCCATCTTCCTACCTTATCCAAAGACTTGGGATGCGCCCGTGAACCTTTTTATTCCGAGATCAACAGCCTTGGGCCACGAGGGACACAAGCTTCTTGTTGACGCGCCCGAGCGTGCGAGAAGCAATCCCGTTGTGCTGCTTTTACGCCGTGCCTGTATCTGACCTGCGGGTGAAGATGATGCTCCGGTTTGTCGAGCTGTCTGCTAAGTGCTACCCATGTAGCCGTAGGTGTTCCCCCTCTCCCGCTGGCAGGAATGTGGGATCCGCCAAACCCAGCCAGACCCAATTTCATGCAGGCTAGCAAGGGCTTCTTTGACAGTGCTGTTTCATTCGGCTTGTTGACCGCCTGTTGCCAATGACTGCCGCCGCAGACCCAATCCTCTCCGCACCTTTTGCCGGACCCAGTTGTTTAGAGGCACGCCGCATCGTTGCTCGAAAGCGTGGGTACGGATAAAGACTCAAGACAAACACACGAGTGGCTGTCGACCGTTTCCAAACGTTGTATTGCTTCGGGAAAAGAGTGCGAGGTAATACAGATAGCATGCCAATCTGCCTGGCCAGCGGAAGCTAATCGGTGGATGGTAACATGCATGCGTGTCTTGGGCCCGGACATTGACAGCTAGTCTTACTGATACCGTAGCAAGCCGCGGCTGACGGTACAGTCATTACGAGTAAGAAGATGCGTCTATGGTCGTTGCCGCCATCGTCACACTGCTTCTTAGTCTCTGTCGGTGAGCTTGCCCGAGTTTAAGCTACGCGATGCGATATTGCCAGCACCCCTTCCTTGAGTTATCGGTGGTTACATTTGTGTGACATGGCATGCCGACTCCGAATGTATTCTCGTCCGGTCTCCTCCACTACGTTAGGTATGGCCCGTAGAACACTCTCTTCAGACAACAACCAAGGCCAGGTGACGATGGTCGGATTGGTGGATAACTTTGCTGAAAAGACAGAAGTCCCACGATTATAACTGGGCAGAGGACTTGCCAGCTTGCCAGCCGAAACGACAAGATAACTTTGCTCTTTGCGGGGTTGCACACCATTCTGCTTGCCACTTGGTGCCCATCACGCTCCCCAGGAGCTGTTCCCTCCCGGCGGAGATACCGAATGGCACCTCAAATCCAGAGGGCGGCTGATGGCGTCTCCTGAGCATCGTGATTGACCGAGTCTACTGTCTGTGCTTGTCTGCAACTCGGGTTGCTGCAACGATGCTTGTAGTGTAACCTGCGCTGCACATGGTCCGTTTCGGTGCCCCTCAAGAGGGTGTAGACTGTAGATGGAGGTGAGGAAGTGGTGAGGAGGGCTCGGAGAAGGTGCTACTTTCGACAGAGCTCCGTTGAGGTCATGCTGGCGTGCTAGTGTACGCAGTATCCGTAGTAGACTTCTCGGCTATCACCCAGTGGTATTCAGATAAACTGCACTTTAGATTCGCTTCGCGGATGGAACCTGGCAAGTTACCACTCTGGGCTGTCATGTTTCATATGGGCCGACAAGCCTTGGGAGCTCGAGCCAGCTTGCCAGGTACGCCAATCGCGCCGGCGACATTCAGTCTGCGGTCCGTTGTGGATAATTCTTGACAACTCTCCCGAGAGGAGACACGGTCTCCCTGGGCTTGTACAGAACTCTGATATAGCTGATTTATGTAGCAAGTCGGTTCAACATATACACCAGAGTTGTGTTTACTGGTGGTTGACTCGAGGGCGGAAACCCGTCACAGACCAAACTCCAAAGCTTGGCTATTAATATTCGTGCAAAAAAAAAAAGTGCGGAGCCGATCTCACCTATCTGCAGATTCGGCATTCGGGTGTGATCAGATGCGTCGGCTCCACGGCTCCTTTAGGATAAAAGTCCTGGTTATAGCTTATGCTCTTAATCCGCGGCACGAAAGCCAATGTCAACCAAGGGGCTGACAAGGGATGGCGTGGTCGAGGAGGGTACTATCGTGACCATACTGCGCACTCCGTACTCCGTACCGAGTCAAAATGATAACTGTCGGTCGCGTGCACAAACGCGGACGTGTGGCAGACGTCGGCGACTCCATCTTCGTCCCCATTCCCCCCGTGGAAGAGTTTTAGCCTTGAAGCGATTGACACGATATTGTAACCTTGCTGACATGGGCCTGTCCTTTGACCCCCTGCCTGCTCTCAGTACCTATGGCCCCGGTCAGGTAAATCCTCTTGTCTGCGATTGACACGGAATCAATGGCGGCGATCTGTTGAAGAGGTGCTGTACGACTCGGGGATCGCGTTACATTGCTGCAAACATACCGTCCCGGCCGGAATGCTGCGAGTCGTGAAATGGATCCAATCTGCTTCTGTACAGTACACCCGTACCATGTACGCGACCACCAGTCGTGTTACCATCTGCCACTGATCTGCGCTTTCGTCACGCAGCCCTCTACCGTGGCTCGGGAAAGCTAGCCAAGTTGCAAACCTCCGAGGTAGAGGCCGTGAATGAGAATGGCCGAACCACCAGCCTAAGAAGCGGCGACTTCTCCGGGACTTGCGCCAATCGTCATTCTCAACTGTTGGACCCTTGGTAACGATTCGGTGGCACGGCGACCTACGGCAGAGGAAATACGTATGTGGTGCTAACAAGGATGACTAGAACGCCCTATCTCCCAAGTGAATCTGGAGAGCGAAGCGTTGACTTTTGTATCCGAGCGATATCCCTAGTTTCTGCTCCTGTCCTAAGAGAAACTCGGGCCTGGACATGAGCTTCGGCCCGTTGGATGGTTGAGAAGGGATTCGTTGAAAGTGAATAAGAGGGATATCGATATTTGTGAGAACAACCTTCGAGATGCAATTGTTGATGCGGACCTGTGGGGTAGTAACCGGGTCCGACCACGCCAATGTGGTATTCGTACCAAGTACCCGCAACATGCGGAAGACGTCCCAACCACATGGTGAACAAGCCCTGTCGAGACTTTCGGGGGTCGAATGGGGAGGAATGGCCAGTTCTACCTGACATGGGAGTCACTTGTGCTTGGGTTTTCCATCACACCGTCGGCCGATGCTGGCCGTCGCGAGGCACAGTAATACCAGAAAATCATTGCGTGTCCCATCGTCTTTGTGTGCGGTCGTCTGCGCCACACGGCCACAGTATACGGCCAAGCAAGCCAAGGGGTCGGAAACCTCATTTGCTTCTTGTGTTTGCTTGTTGTGGATGTGATGAGCGTGTGGTTGGCCGTTGTGTGCCGTGGTACACAACAGAAACGTACACGCAACCTGACCGGGCGCATGGGCTTCGGGAAGTGGGATGCGGCGTGCTAATGGATGCATCCCCGGCCCACGCGAGTGGTGGCCCTCTCAAGAAGGCCATCAGGAGGGGGAGTGATCGTCTCTTGCGGCACGACTTTTCCCAGGAGAGGCTAGGGACGCACTCACTCACATACTGCAGGCTAAGGTAGTCTCCTTCCTCTCCCTCCTAGCTCATCTAGCTCATAAGCCTGTGCAATAGCGCACTGCGTGCTGCAGGAGCATATTTTGACAAGGACAGGGCCTCGTCGGGCCCGGGGCAATTGACCAGTTCTCGACATATGATGGCTGATGCGGAGCGTTCCAGGGCGGGAAGACGCGGTTGGCGAGATCAAATCTTGCGCAACGACGATGACATCGCCTACTACCCGGGGGCTTGGGGCCATACCATTGGCCGCGTCGGCTTGCTCGCCCTCGGCTGACTGACCGAGCAGAGTGCCCATGTGTCACGATGCATTGAGACATGCGCCGTTGGGATATCTGTAGGTATATATCTAGATGTCCGAGGCGGCCAATAAAGCAGACGGCAACTAAGGGCAACCAGCCCAGCCGCAGTCTACTGTGCATTGTGTATTCCGTGCCCGTATGGAGTCTGTGACATGATGGTTGCGAGGCTACTCTGCCGTGACGGAGCCCAATGCTACGTCAGAAGCGTGGCAGTCTGGCAGAAAGTCGGAAAAGAAACAAGGGACGTGGGAGTCCTGGCGAGCATGTCGGAGGAAATTTCGGGCCATCGGCAGCGATTTCGATGTTTTCTGCTGGGGCGGCCTGCTAGAGCCATGCAAAGACCAGCCGCTCTCGGGGCTCAAGCCGAACGAATGCTGTTGGACAGTTGAGCAGGCCACTCGCTGAAATGCCCTTCCAACGGCGGACAGTGGACACTAGGCCGTAACCTTAGCACGTATCCGTAGCGCCAGCTTAATTTGACAATGGCATGTTGGAGAAGCCGAGCCTGGTTAGTTTCCAGTATCCACGGTCTCCAAGCGGGAACTTGGCCGTCGCAGATATAACCCCGGCCATCTGGCCGAACTCGAAGGGCTTCACATCGGAGTTGTGAGCAGCGAAATCTTCATGTACAAGACCCGCGGGCCATGCCAAGCCGCAAGATGACATTGGGACGTTGCCTGTTCGTGGATTCGCTGTCAACAGTTCGAGGCCAGGCCTGGCCACCCTGTGGCCCTGTCACCCAGGGCACTAGCGTTGTCGACCCCCCAGCGATGTTTCCCCTGGCGAGCGACATCCGTGCGTGTTCTCCGTCAGGACCGGAGCTTGTGGGACATGATTCGGGGAAATTGGGTGGTCGTGACATTGCGAGAGCATGATTCTCGATGGAGCCACTTTATGGTCTTTGGGAACATCCGGATGCTGCCGACTGATCAAGAGGTATCCGTACGGGGACGATATCCCTCGAGTCAAGTGGACTGTGGACATGAGCTTGTCAATCTGCGGGCTCGGTAGCACTGCCACTAGCCCAGGAGGCGGTCGTCATCAAAATCCCCGGGTGGCGGAACCCCCTTCGCTGAATCTTGCCTGGCATGCCCAGTTTCCAAAGGATCCATCTGAGGTTTCTGGTTGCCAAAACTAGATGAACATGGCGAGCCGGGAGGGATAATATACGTATTGCTCAACCGTAATGTGAGATATGCCAACAATTCCCAGATGATGGCGAGGCAGTCCAGCCATCGCACTTGTGAGTATCGGCACTGATAGATTCTCAAAGACCCCGAGAAGACGGATATCGGGAAACAAGCCATGGCTGGCGGCGTGGGGCCGACGGCTCTTGAATCAGCAGAAGTAGGGCGAGAGTGCAGACACAAGGTGCTGTAGCGTGGCGTGGAACTGTGGGTGTGCGGATACCTTCACTGCGTTGTGTGAGTGTTTTTGAAGGTAGTTGGGCGAGTTGCTCTGTAGTTTATGTCGGACTTAAAGCGGCGTTCGGTGCTAGAGGTGTCCGCTGACGATCTGGAGACATATGCGTGGGTTGCAGCAGTGGCTTTTCAGCCATACCAGTGCAACGTGCCGTGCGAAAGTGATGTGCAGCCGGCACTTCGAATTCCAAAGGCTAAGAGCGGGCGTGCGGGTTGATTACTTCTGCAGGCCAGACGATTGGGAAAAGGCTAATTGTGTTCAGTTGAGGCCGTTGAAATAGTCGGGTGGCTCGCTCGCCCGCTCGCACATCGGCTTGTGTATGAAGGAACAGAGTGCGATGTAGCCGTACTGTATCCGTACTGCCTGAGGGATGCGAACGTTGGTACGCAACGGAGAGGGGTCTATGGGACCAGGCATGATCCATAAGCTTGCTACCGTGGGATCTATTGGTTTGCAACGTATGGGACCTGCCGGCTGTGCTAGATACTTGGTGTACTTCGGAAACCTTGGAACGAGATAGATGCTGCCAGCTGTGGTCAAGGGATTGATGCACGTCTCTGAATCGCCGACGCAGATCCCAAGCCGCAGGTTGAGAGCTTGCAAGGTCCTGGAAAGGAAAACCACAGACATATGGATCGTGTTGCGTATTGAGCAAGTTAGTGTGGGCAGAAAGTGAAGCAGCGGCAGTGGTCAGAGAGACTGGTCCAGGTCTAGGCGGAACATCGAGCCAAGTAGGAGGTCCGGCACGGTGCGGGTTCGAGACTTGTCGGACTCAGAAGCAGCAAGTGCCAAACGGTCCTCGTAGGTTGTAGATAGGTCGCAGATCGACGCCCAACAAGTCAACGGCTCAGAACTCAGGGTTCGGCTGTGCTTCCGGCATATGTGTAGCATGTAAGTTGCTCTGTGGTAGGTAATGTACCTTGAGCCGTAGCTTCCCCCTAATTCTCGAGTTCGAGCAAACATGCTGAGCCGACAACGAACCGTGGCTTGATGTCGAAATGAATGCAAGATGCTACGGATAGGATTGCCGAGTCTGGTTCGTACACTATGTGGGACCCGGAAATGTGACCGGATGTGCAGAGTGCTCGCAAGTGTCCGGAGACTGCGAGCACGTACGGGCGGTTGATAGAATTGGAGAGGACGGAGAAGTGCCCGCATGGGTACCCGTACACGTAGTTGGAAGGATCCGTTAGAGGAGTAAAGAGGTTGAGTTTTGAAGAGGGTCAATGATTGTGCCTCTGAGGGATGTGGGATCTGGCAGAAAGAAAGAATGGAACGAAGCGAGCAGTCGGGATCCAGTCAGCCAGTCCATTTCGAATGTACCTTCATCATCGAGCGTCCAGACTCAAGTTTCGCCGGTTCAAGGTGCATAGGTCCAGCTCTAACTTTTGCTTCCGTCTAGGGTCGGGGTTGGCTTTGTGGATTGATAGTGAGAGGTCGAAGTCATGGATGGAAGTCTGAAGATGTCAAGAAACGAGACCGAGTACGTACTACGTACACAGCACGGAGCTGTGGATTGCGGATTGGGGATGGGTACGGAGGCATATCGGAGGATCTCCCTGTCAGAGGCAGGTGTCTAGTCTGTTTCGGGGTTAGTGGCGTACGTAATCCAGACTCGAGAACTCCAAGGCAAGGTTAGGTACGTAGCTAAGATAGGTTCCTGCTCCATGTCCACTATCAGGGTGAGGGAAGGAATACTCCACCTCAATCAAGTCTCCAAGTCGAGGAAAGAGTGAACTGTTGGAGTCTTTCCATTTTGCAGGATTAGGTACTCTGTACTGCTTGAGATACCTTACCTAAGGTAAGTTCAGGTAAGATGCCGTAAGGTACCTCACTTCCCAAGTGGCTCAGGTCTTCCACTGATTGTGTCAAGATACGTATACCTGAGGTAGGTGGCAGTGACCCTTTGGAGACCTCATCTCGAGCAATTGGATCACACCAGTGCCATGAATCTGGACACTGGAAAGCACCCACAAGTCCACGACACCCTCCCACTTTACCCGGCTGCTTACTAGCCTTGCGCGACTTCGGCACCGGTCACCGGTGTCCTGGCCCCTGGGATCATGGAAAGATGGTCGAAGTTGATCAAGACCCTACAATATGGGTGCGTCTGTCACACATCAGAGGACAATGGCAATGTACCTTGATCCATTGGCGCATAAGGCTCAGGAGATTAAGCAAGTGCCGTCTGCCGAGCTCCATTGGCTCCAGGCGCCGATCTCACAGTCAATCTCATCGGCGGAGGCGGTATTCCGTGCCTGGATACTACGGCTCACACGCATGCAAGGTACATTCCCGTCTCTGCAACCGTACCTCAGGCCATTATTGCAGCGTTGCAACATTGCAATTCATCTTTGTTGCCCACAACGGAATACTAAGGTATAGCCATGGCCTGATGCCTTCCATTGTTGAGTGAAGGAGGAGAAAAGCGCGAAGAGATGCTATCAAAGTGCTTCCTTCAGATTGGAAGTACAGCACGATATAGGTAGGAGGTAGGTCGGGTCTTCCCATCAGGTGCTGGACTCGGAAGTACATCCTCCCGTCCACCCGTCCACCCAAGAATACTCTTCTTCCAGTTCCATACTCCGTACCGGTACGGAGTAGGTATTCCCCTTCAGACTCCAATCCAAGTATCCGTATCGCGGTACGTATCTTTACCCAAGTCCCCCCATCGCGCACTCGCCCCTCTTTTCCATCGTCTTACTTCTTGCCTTAGTCCTAAGGCGTCAATCAGGGACTCAGCTCAGGGCAAGTGCCAGGGGACGGACCTTGGACATTCAGGGTGACAGCGACCCTGAGCCTTGAGAACTACGTACTCCGCAGTCCGTACTCCTCAATCGGGACGCGGAGTGGGGGAAGGAGTGGCAGACAGGAGACGGGCGGGCAATTTCCACTGACAAGCACTCACCACCAACCCACCAACTCAACCACTCCTCACACTTTGGTGCCTTGGGTGCCTCTTCAAGTTCCCAGCGCTCAGTTCTGGCCCATCTCTTCCCATCCGCGAGGCGCCGATCTTGTCCATCTTCATCCCACTTGCAGCAAGCCTCCCTGCTCCTCAATCAACCAAATGCCGACCTGTTTGTGCGAACTGCGGATACTCCATACTGCCAGCCTGCCATACTACCTATGTACCTACGGCCAACGTAGCCGACGCGGCAAATTTGCTCTCCATCCCGGCATCATCCAGCAGCAAGCATCCAGCATCCAGCTTCCAGCCTCGATATTGCGAGTCCCTCCCCTCCTCAACCCTCACGAATACAGAATTATCCTCAAGCAAGCACACCAGAGCTCGAGTCACTCCGGTTCCTTCAGGGAAGTCGAATCATGACAATGGACTGATGGTTCAATGGCCCAAACGGATTCAAGGGGGCAATAAGCCTCGACGCATCGAGACTTGACTTGTTATCCCGTACCTCGCCCGGCACGGAGCATGCCGTGCTATTCCTAGCGCCACCATCTCGTTCCCTCTTCAACCCACCACCATCTTCTTCACCATCGAATACCAGCACCACCACCATCGCTTGGGACCGAGAGGGGGACAAACTCTGCTCGACTAACAAGGATCTACCAGCATGGATGCCACTTGTTTCTTTGCCGCCTTATCCTCAGTGCACGCACAATGGGCACCGATACCGAACAGAAACATGTGGTTAGAAGCTCTGTTCCCAACGACCAAGAGGCAAAAGGAGAGAAGGGGTCCCAGGGGGTGTGTGGAAGAAAACTCTTTCCCCCGCGCCAGCACACCGGATCATCGCAGAGCTTACCGCTATCACTGCACGGCGTCCAAGTTCGAGCTCTCCGCCTCCTCATTAGGCTCACAACCTTTCAAGACACTTTCCTCATCTGTTCCAATGGGGCCATAGTCAATCTGTTCCGTTCTCCCACTCGTCGTCGTCTCTTGCTTGGGAATGGCATGATTTCGTCTGATTAATCAAAACAAGCAATGACCAAACGACTTTTTTGGTTGTTGCTATTCTTGACATACTCTCAAGTCAACCAGCTCAGCCCGGGCACCAAAGGACCTGCGACTGTCAGACGAGCTTGGCTCCCGCTTTACTTTCTCTACACATGCGGGACATTCGGACTGAGACTCTCAACTTTATCCCTCCTCAGATGAACGCTGATGAGCACAACTGCCTCTGTATTGCTGCCTTATCCCGGGCTTTTAACAACTTTGGACTCCAAGCCTGGCAGTCAGCCACAGTAAAGAAGCCTGCCGGAGACGCTCTTGAAACTGCCGTGAATGGACTAACTAGGCTAGGTAGCACAAGACAAGCTCCATGGCGGGACCTTTCACACAAGTTCAGAACTGCCACGGTGCCACCAACTAACCTTACTCTAGAGCGTATGCTCTACATTGACCGTCGACGTCTCTCTCTGTCTCTGTTCCACCGTCAGCCACACAGAATAGAGCTGTCCAATACCTATCTAGCGCCTCTGCAGGGAGAGTGCCGCCCCCTTCCCGCGAGACACAGCGCGCCATCTCCATTGTACACGCGACGACCATACACCAACAGGGACGGTGCCACGGCTCAACACCTTCCCGTGCAACAGCTCGGAACTCGGAGTCGAGGCCTGGTCCTGGCAACCGCTATAACCCCTGATTCTGCTACTGGCGATGCGATGAGTTAGTTGCACATGCCATGGTAGTGGCACTACATACACAGTAGTGTGGTGTCCGCACCAAGTTGTGTACAGAACACAACTGACTTTAGTGCAGACACTCTTTACCCCAGTGCCCGGTGGCTTTGGGGCTCGTCTCTCGCTCGCCTCCCACCCTTGGTGTTTCTCCAATGATATCGGGCTGTCACGTCACCGTGCCCATCACTTTTCGTCAACGACTAAGCACCGTCCATCCGTCGAGCCAACCATAATTCGCACAGCTTCGGCATCAAGGCGATGCCGCTAGGAAAGAAGCTTGAACTCGAACGGTTGATGCCCAAGTCTAGCTTCGGTTACCTCGTCACGACTCACCAGTTTTCTCCAAGCGAGTTTGCGTATCCCGGTCGTTGCCCCACACACTTGTGGGCGGAACTCAACCAGCCCGCTGTGGAGGTCCGTTTGGTCTGCCGCCCTCTCCCCGGCCGACGCCGCCGGTAGAACGGCTGAGTTTCCTCTTCCCGCCTTGGATTGCTGCCGCCCATCCTTTCCATCAGAGATGAAAAATCGAGAATGTCTCACGGCCCGGAACCTACCTGGCACTCTAGAAGCTACCAGGGCTTTAGTTTGAATCACAACCACAGTCTAGAATAATGCCGTAATTTGCGCTTCAATACCTTATTGTACACTAGCTACCTCTCGAGACATTACTTGAGCGGCGAGGAGCACGCAGCACAACTTGACCTGACCAAGTGCGGCCGATATCATACGAAGACGAAGCGACTGTGCAAAGCTACTAGTACTCAGAATAGCCCATGGGCGTCGTCTCATCCCATCTTTCGCCTGCCTCTTTCGTATCTGTTCACATTACCCGTTACTTGCTTGCGCGAGACTAGTGCGGCGCCACATTGGTGACTCAAACTGTGATGATAGTTTCGGCACAGACGTTGTCATCAATATCATCACCTCAAGACGCATACGAAGGCCGCAGGCCTCTGGAGCTCTATGGGCCTTGAACTTCTCACCTCTGAGGAACTATGTAACTACCTTACACACCCCTGCCCGGGATCCTGGCCGTCCCGATTCCCCGCCGATGTTTTCCCTTTAGGAACAGACGGGGACAGGAACAGACCGGCCAAGGATAAGGACCCTGACCCTGGATAATACAGTCCTAACCTTGACTCGAGTCCATCTCCTCAAACTTCTAGCACCGCCTGGCTCCACGGCTCCAACATCCCAAGCATGTGGACCAGGCCACCACCCCGTAGCGGGGGGGGGGGGGATTGAGCTAGCGTCATTCGAATCTCGCAGATTTCTCAACGCCATTGTCGACCACGTCCTACCGGCCACAGGGCCACAGGCACTTACAAGATTCTGATTCTCAAAACCACGGTTGCTTTTAGGCCCTGAGGAACCACCCGTCCCGCTCAACCAAGACATCCACGCCCTCTATGGTGGCGCACAGGCAAGCCACCGCCGCCGCGCCGCCGCAGACTTGCAGTCATTGACAAGCGGCAAGCCATGTCTTTGCCTCGTGCCTCACGTAACGGACGGTGTCCGAAGTGCTGGCCTAGGAAGACCCTCGAGAGGCCCTGGCGCGTCTGGCCGCTCCAACCTTTCATGTCCAAGCTAGCAACTCGAGCTTGCGGGGTTTTCGACCAACACTGATCTCCATCTGCCACTTGTCACTTGCGGCAGGATGAACGATGTAGTGTGCGGCGTACCAGCTCAACTTTCAGCGTTTCCCTCGCCAGCAATGGCTTATTCTTAGTACCGTCCGTTGCCTTTGACCTTCCCCATTCCGACAGCGTTTGATCGGCTCCTTGATAGGAAGAAGACAGGACGACAAGACACAGACGCTGGCCAGGTGCATACTGTGTACTTCGTAGAAGCTCACTCACACCCCGTTGCAGGGATGGCTCTACCACAGGAAATGCTGATCCGTCCCGGCCCCGGCGCGTTGGTGCGTGGGATCGCTGGCCGGCCAGTTGCGTCTCTTACAACAGGCCGTCACTGCTTTGATGTATCCATATTTTGCCTCTCTTAGTAGCTCACAGTGTAAGCAAAGAGAAGTGTAGAGGCTTACTTGTCGAACGTTGGCCTTATTATCACGGGGATGGCATACCTCACTGGCCTACCCCCCGAGTCTCGAGTCTCTCAGCTTCGCATCTCTTAGTCGAGGATCAAGGCTTAGATGCGTTACAAGCCCATCAGACTTGTTTTGCATTACCTTCCAGAAAATCTTATCTCGCCAGCTATACCTTCTCTCCTCGATTAGGGGATCATTATTGCCGCTACCCACCTTACGACGACCATCATATCACGGGCATCTTCATGCTTCTCCCCTTCAGCCTCTATCACCCCTGACCCCTACGCCTTACCACACCGGACCCGGGTCTTGTCATTCTCTAAAGGTTCTTCACTTGACATCGCCAAGCAACATCCAGGCATACAGCACCAGCAGGCCGGATTGGCCAAGTCTTGCTGCCTGTCTTCACACATCAACCGCAGACCGCAGCAGCCATAACACTATTCTGCACAAAATCTTTACGAGCTGTTCTTGTCTCTCTGGCCCTCGTCGTGAGATTTGATTCTCCTTTAGTCCTAGGACTCCCGAGTCCTGATACGTTCGACCTCAGTGCCCCAAGTCTTAACTCGAGATCCCTCCAGTCAGCTCAGGAAAAGTGCCTATCTGAAAAGACCCGACATTGACTAGGACGCCGAGATATACTGGGTCGCTTTCGCAGCTCAAATCTGGATCCCAGCTCTCTCTTTTCAAAATACAGAGTCAAGACAACCTTGAACAGACTCCATTACAACTCTTCTGGCTCCGTTGCTGGCCAGCCGATCTTGCCCTGGCAAAGGAACGTAGGCGAGTAGATTTTTGGAAGGAAGGCCATTTGTTGCCGCATAGCGGTTCCGTCGGCCTTGGGCCTGTCAAATCCGTCACATTCCACCCTGCCACTAGCAACAATTGGCTCACTAGACCCTTGCAACATCACGCCTGTTGCGTGGCCGGTGGGCACAGCCGGCCGTATTCTTTTGCGGCAACGTGCAGATTCCCGCTCCTACGAAGCACCCCCGGCCAATCTCAGCCCCTAGCCAACAGCCCGGAGAAGAGTCTCGAATTGGTCGACAGGCGTTCGACAAGCACCACAAGCACCACAAGGCGGTGCGAGGACCCCAGTCCGGATACCAAGCCTTTCCCTTGACACAGGGCTTTCGAAGCCCTCCAACGCCTCACGTTTGAGAAACCTGCCAGCACTGAGCAGCGGCCGGTTGGCTGTACCTTACTCTCACCTTGTCTGCACCAGTCCATCGACATCGTTCGGAGAGATAAAACATCAGTCGGGGATTTGGTCCTGTCACTGAGATATGCTTATTGCCTCTTTGTGTCAGCAATAGATGCACCACGACCTTGGCCGTTGCAGAAAACCGCGGACAAGTCGCTTCGTCGACGCGGAACACGACCTCGTAGCCCGCAAACATTCCGACGTTCATCAACAGCAGCTTAGCAAAACGGTCTGGAACACAGAAGCTTGCCTCAAAGTCAACCGTCGAGCTTGGTGCGTATGCCACATGTTTCATTTGTCTCGTTTCCCCCCCGTCTGGAGCCGGAATATGTCCTTGTTCCTGTCCATATCACCAACACCCCATCTTCACCCGGCCCGGGTATCGGCTAGTCGCCCGCCCTGAACCTCGACCGTTAGTTAGCATAGCCACGGACATTACCTTATGCCAGATTTTATGACAAGATCGGGACGCGGTTGCGTGGCCAAGGCCATGCCTGCCCAAACACCAAATCGACTTGTAGTCTCATCGCGGCCAGTAGCAGCGAAATCCCCCGATGATCATTGTTCGATAGCTCCCGACGAACGGCTTAGCGGCCCCTTCTCATCAAGCGCACGTCCATCGCCCAGGCTGGTTATGGTCGGCTCGTTTGTCGGCTGTTCTGTTGCGGCGCTGCCTCCAGCCCAGCCTCATAGAACCAGAGAAGATGATGGCGAGACAAGGGACATATGCAAAGAGGAGAATGAAAAGGACCTGGACCAAGTTGGCCCATCTGCACGCTGCTGCAAAGATTGCTGGTAGGATTTCTCGATGCACATCATGTCCTAAAATAGTCGCCCTCAGCCCACAGCACCAAAGTGTCAGTGGTACAACCCGAAAGAATGCCGGTCGATTCTCAACAGCTCCAACAACAAGTCTGCTGCAACCGAGTGCAGAAGCGGAAGAGTTCCCTGCAGATTTTACCTTAGCAAGCCAGCCGAGCCAACGACGGGCTCTCTACACCCATCCACAGTGTACCCCAACACCCTTTGCATCTTACCTCGAAGCCCTCTCTCTCCTCTTCCTAAGTTCCCACCCTCTAGGCGTAGGTGAGGGTTGCATAAGGGCAAATTTCACCTACATACGTACGTGCCTCCTCCATCCCAGAGCCCGTTTTCTGTTGGATCAGGATCTATAGCGGCTTCTCCTGTCTTGGTACGGCCCACCTGTTGCAAAATTCCCGACGAGGGAGCTCGACGCGTGGTACCCACGATCATACAAGTCAAGCCATATCGACTTATTAGCCCCCTTTCAACCCAAATCCTTGTCTTGGGGACCATCAACGTTCACGGTTCACGTTGCCCCCCCTGCCTCCTGCGCAAGAGGTTGAGAAAAGCACCCCAGCCGAGTCCAAGTGGGCTTGTTCGACGGGAAATGCCATTGAGTCGCGGCACAGCGACCTTATTTTCGAAGCTGTTGCCGATTCGCCATCACCAATCCTTGGTGTCGACGCTTAAAGGCAGGGATCATGGGGTTTCCTGGTGACTTGTCCGAGGTTCCTGGACCCCCTGCTCTCTTGAACCGGGACCCTGGCATCCCAGCAGCGCCCACTCTCCGGTCGAAACACGTTAGTTACTTTGGTTGATGAGCATCTTCCACAGCCCTGTTCCTCCTCCTTGCTTCCTGGGTCCAGCAGCAGCAAGGATCCCGTCCAGCCCTCCACCACTCTCCAGAGATAATATTTCCGATTCTGCTCTCATGGCGCGGAGAGCCCCGGATCCAGTCCAGACCTAACGCCTCGAAGGCACCGCAAACCATCGTCACTAAAACCTCCGGCGGTGTTGTACCCGTCGAGTGACATGACGGCCCAAGACCACCATACATACCTTGCCTTGCCTAGCCTCCCTTGTCCGCCTACCTTACCCGCTTCCTCGTTGCTCCGACTAGACGCCGCTTGCTATTAGTCTTTTACATTTCTGCCACCATCCCGCAGAGCCACACAGCTTGTCATTCTTTACATCTCTCTACCCTCCGCCCAAACTACATCTGGTGCTTGTCTCCCCTACCGGCTTCCATCCTCCCCGACCCCACGCCGCCCTCTTTCGTTTTTGACGCTTGCTTAGACTCTTGCTCGCTGCTTGCATATATCATACAAGCTGACGGCCCTCTCGACGGATCACGAAGAGTCTATTCGCTAATCAAGCTATTGCGTAACAGATGCCATTCGGTGTCACCATCTTCGACAGTTGTATCAGACAGCACGGCAGCCGTGCCTCTTTCTTGTCTGCTCTGCAGTCCTGTACTCGGGAGGCGGAGTTCAGGCAGGCAAGCCATTGGGCATTGGAAATCTAGCCGGCTTTGGGTCATACAGAGCTACAGTACAACGGATACGCTTCAACATCGCCAAAGATAACCGCTGTGCGCTCGTTGCCCGGACGCGAAGAGAAATAGATCTTGGACAGGCTGAACCTGCAGAACGCAGGACTCACTCTCCCGGAGGATACCGCATTGCGCATCAAAGAGTTTCCTCGGGATCTTTAGCCGGGTGTTGGGTCAAGTACGGCAACCTCCCAACCGCAATACTCGACAAACCGTCTGTATGTTCGTGGAGCGCCGTTTGCCTACCGTCCACCGACTTGGGGAGCCTGTGGAGTCTTCTTTGAACCAGACTCGCGAGCACTGGTCCGTTGAACCGCGCTCCGCCATGGCTGCGTCGTCGCACAACCCATATCCACGATCTCCTAATCCCTCCACCAGGTCGTACGACTCGTCTTCTGTCTCATCTGCCACATCTCCGAGGCAGCCTACCCAGTACATCCCGCGAGGTCTGATGAACACTGGAGCGAGAACAACTGCAGCACCACCTCCTCAACCCATCGGTATCCCACCTTTACCGCCGATGAACCAAAACGCCTTTACGCCGTACACACCAGTGACCGCTGGCTCAATGATGGGCCGCGACTCCCTGCCATCGGCCGATTCCGTGGCAAGCACACCTGGCCCATCAACAGCTTCACTACCCCCAATTTCCCAAGCCCAGAAGAGGGCGTACAGGCAGAGAAGGAAGGACCCGAGCTGCGATGCATGCCGTGAGAGAAAGGTCAAATGCGACGCTACAGAGACAACGAGTTGTTCAGAGTGTTCAAGCCGCAATGTCAAGTGCCAGTTTACAAAAGAGACTAACAGACGGATGTCCTCGATCAAGCAGGTGCAGGACCTAGAGAAGCAGATGGAACGCCTCAGGCGGGACAACACCAACTTGAAGAGAGCTCTTCAGGAGCGGGACGGTGCGATGGACGTAGATCCGGATGGTCTTGAGCCGTTGCCCCTTCAGCTACCGGAGCTAAATGCCGACATCAAGCGAAGGAAGCGGCCAGCCCCTATTCACGACCTGGCGCGGGCAAGATCGAATATGCGCATTTTCTCCAGAGGCATCTGGAAAGCACCTGCTCAGTACCGACAGGCACCTTCGACGCCATTGTTCGACCCTCAGAGACCTGAGTTGCCTCCCAGGCAGACGACTGACCAGCTCCTACACACGTACTACGGCTCTGCGCACACCATGTTCCCCATCCTTCATTGGCCAACATTTCAGATGGGAGTCGAAGATCTCTACAGAATCGGCAACACAAAATCCGTGCAGCCGGCATGGTTATCGACGTTCTTCTCGGCTCTGGCACTCGGCAGCCTCTTCAGTCAGGATCCCCATCGCGCATTTCGGGCCGCGGAACTACTGGAAGTTGCCAGGGGCATGATCGACCCTTGGAACAACGACTACGTCCTTGACAACGTACGCGCACTGCTTCTTGTTACTCTCTGTCTCAATGAAATGAACCAGAAGTCAGCTGCCTGGACATGGCTAGGCACGGCTGTACGAGCTGGACAAGACTTGGGATTGTACTCGGAATCCGGACCGTGGCCTGTGATTGAAGGCGAAATGCGACGGCGGGTATGGTGGACGATCTATATTCTGGATAGGAGTCTGGCTCTCGACCTCGGACGACCGGTGTTGATCGACGACACTGACTGCGACGTGTCGCTCCCTGCCCCGGTGGACGACCATTACATTCACGAGGGAGGCATTATGGTTCCTCCTGGCCGTGAGCCCCTGAACCACTCCCTCTTGGCTGTGATCAACGTCGTCAGGTCATACTCTTCTTTGATCAAGACACTGGCTGCCCCAATCGTGGTGCCCACCAGGCTCGCAACCTTCGAGACGCACTTCAACGCCTGCCATGCACTATTCCCTCAAGTGTGTGACACAGCCAGCACAGGGCAAATATCGCCTCACCTCCTGACGCCCTACACCTACCTTCTCCACGCTCGATTCGCATTACACCGCCACAACCTGGCTCCGACCTGCCCGTCCGATGTACGTCTTGCTGCTATGGAGCAGTGCACTCACATTGCTCTTGAAACAGCGTCGCTCCTCTCGCGTGCAACCCCAACCCTTGCCGACGGCGCTACTGCCCTCCTCACCACCCACACCTTCCGCTGTGCTCTCTTCCTCCTTCTGGCAGGGTACTGGGACCATGCAACGACGTGTCTGCGTGCTCTAGCGACCATAGACTCGAAACGCGATGTTGCCATCCCCTGTGGACGGTTCCTCGCCTTCTTCGTATCTACACTAGGCACAAAGCGCACCGAGTATGCGGCATTTGTTGCCCGAACGACGCCTCCGAAACCATTCGCCCCGCCTCCTCCACCGCATGGCCGTCCCGGACCTAGCCCGCTGCAGGAGGCTCTGATGCAGGACGAGGAGCTCCTGGCATATGTCAGCGCCGATCTGCAAGCGGCACCAGACTCGGCCTGGGTCTGGGCCGGCGGCGAGCGCGAGGCCATCCTCTCCCCGACCTCCCCCGGATCGATTACAGCTTCTGGCGGTGCCAGCAGCGGGCTCTTCAGCGCTGAGCAAAGAACTGGCTTGAGCGATGAAGAAGTCAAGGAGTGGGGAGGGTGGGAGCGCCTTGAGGCAGCCTTGCGAGGGCTGGCCTCGGGCAACACGACGCCCACGCCGACATCTGCGACTTGGACGTCTGCTCTACCCGCCGGGATCAAGACCGAAGGCACACCGACGTTACCGAGCATCATGCCGGGCCCCGGCGAAGGCAGCAGCAACAACAGCCCAACAACGAGCACCAAGGGCCGGCCCCAGGACAGGTTGAGCATCGCAAACATCATCTAGAGAGGACCAGGGCTCAGAACCGAACCTCATGCTCTCTTCATGAAGCGGCTCAATCTTGCATAGCACGGGGCAGGCCGATGTATCGGAGCCCCTATCTATAGGGGTCCCCAAAAGCTGCTTAACAACCAATTCTTGATGTTTCATTACATCAAAACAAGTACCAGGCAACAAATCATGACTGTTTACGAACGTCACGGAAATGAAGCCATGTAGACCATGTCAGGCCCCTATAAATGGGTCTTTGTCATGACGGTCCCATGACAGTAAGCCGGATTCGAAGAACGAACTCCGATGTACGATAAGGTGTTGACACGAGGGGCTTACAACGCCTTCAACACTCTCTCTCGTCAACTTTTCTTCTTCTAAAAGAATTCCTTTGCTCCGATCATCCCTTTTTCTCTATCTTTTTTTTTTCCATCCATCATTTGGATCTCAACAAAATCTGAGCGGGCGTAGCCATACAGGCCCCCTCAAACCATTCGTTAACACCTTAATGTCTGCACCATCTTAACAGCAAGAGGCGAGGGGGGCGGAGGTACGGGGTCAGTCCAGAAGCTTGTTCCAGGTTGCTTTTTCTTTTTTTTTCTCTTTGTTCACGGCCCGGTTCGCTGGATGACCGCGCCTGGGTAAAATAAAAAAAAAGAGTTGCAGAAACTTCGAAAAGAAAAGGGCTATGGCATAAGGATGGTTTTTTCGTAATGGATGCGGCACAGCGAGGAGGCGCAGAAGGGGGTGGGGAAGAGGCCGGGCCTTTTTTTCCTTTTGGTGCAATACCCAAGTAGAGAGGATGAATTGGGGCTGGAAATCGGTCTGGATTGGGGGCTTTTTTTTTTTCTTTTTGTCTATATGGCATATCGCTACTTGTTCATCATTTTTCACCGTTTTCTCGTTTGTTGCTGTACCACAGGCTTGCAAAAGGGTTTTTTTTTGTTGTTGTACGGAGGATTTGGGAGAAAAAAGACGAAGGTGCAACTACACTCGAAACCTTTTTTCTCTTTGCACAAAGGAAACCTTTTTATGTACAAATGAAGCAAGAAATGAGCCTGAGGACTCGCAGAGGCATGGTACTCGCGAGTTTCTTTTTACTACAGG